AGGATCCTGGATGGAGAACTCTACTGTCTTTGCAGCTCATTCCAAATGGGCTGCATCACCAACATTCTGCTCTCTTTTTCCTCCCCCACTCCATTCCTCAGGACCCACTGTCTACTAGGGGTGCTGATGGGTCACAGACTCCAGACACACAGAGAATATCTGCAGTGGACTCCAGTCTTCAGCAGGCTTGGCTGTGGTGTCCTGAGCTCCCCTCTTCTTGCTCAAGCTGCTATAGACTCATGGCCCAGGCACCACATTACTCTAACCAGAGAGGACCATTGGAGAGGAGAAGAGCCCACGCCAGCATGCTGTTCCTCAGGACCTGCACTGGCCAGAGTCCTACCTACAATTCAAAGCTCCCAGGTCACAAGACGATACCACAACATGCCCTAATAAAAGGATTGTCATCTCCACACAGCTGAACTTCTAAAGCAACTGCCCTGTGGGGTGCTGTTAGTCTGGTGGGCAGCCTGCACCTGAGCCCTAGAGCATTCCAGGGTTAGTCTCATCAGAAAGCAGATACTCTGCAGGAAGTGCTGCCCGGTCTTTCAGAGGACAGAACATACATGGAGTCAGTTGGAGATAGAACTGTGAGTCCTCAGTGAGCTCAGGACCCACTGTGATCCTCGCTAAGAGTGGGCTCAGGTTTTCTCCCTACTTTACAGGTGGGAGAGTGGAGAAAGGCCGAGTTGTGGGTGATGTTAAAGGGAAAAGATTGTTCGGTGTGGCCGGAGATGGTAAGACTCCATGCAAGGGAGGCAAGGTGGAGTCAAGTGTCTTGCTGCAGCTGAAAGAGAGTCAGTTCGTTCTAAGTCCAGCACAGCCAAGGGGACTTTAGAGCAGATGCGCAGGTCCGAGGATGGGAGCTCCAGTGCTAAAGGGGGATTCTGGGTTGCCAACTCAACAGGACTCTTGCTGAAACCGGCTGGGTGATGAAACTTATCGCCTAGGTGTCTTCATCGGGGTTATTTTCTCCTCCAGTTAAAGAATTACAAGGCGGGAAATGTCTCGGCTACCGTAGGCAGCAACAGGTGTCAAGTTTTATTAAAAGTGAAGAAGCTCACACAGCAAGGCACGCGGAGAGAAAGACTCCCTGCGGGGTACAGAGGGGACTATGTCCACCCACCCACACCGCCATATGCAAGGTTGGGGATTGTAAGTGTTTTGAGTGGCCGGGGAGGGGTCTCCTTCCCCTGCTTTCGGGCTGGTCAATGTAAACAAAGAAAGAAGGGCTCAAAGACCCACAGCTCAGGACCAGCCTTGAACCAGTCACCTGGAAGGGAGCCCTGATAGAGAAAAGCCCGCTAGGCTGTTGTCTCTGGACAGGAAGGGGAGGGAAAGGCCAGAAGCTCGCCATCTTCATTATCTGAACTGATCCCTCTCTCTCCCTGTCTGTCTGTCAGGGGGTCTGTCTGGCTCCTGATCCTTCAAAACCTTGCCTCAGCTGTGGAGGAGAATGAAGCGTCCATCAGCAATGAAGAGCTCTGGGTCTGAGCCAGATTATGGATGAGATGGGTGGCTTGTTTCATTTCTTTTGCTGTGACAAATACACCCTGACAAAAACCAGCATAGGAAAGGAAAGGGCTTTTGTTTTGTTTTCCTTATAATTTCAGGTTACGGGTCCATCTCTGAGGGGAAGCCATGGTGGGAAATCAAGCTAGTCACATCACATCCCCAACCACGGAAAAGAAAGAACAAATTCACCCTTACCTGCTTCTTCTGTTCAGCTGCGTTTCTCAATGTTTATACTGTTCAGGACCCAATGGCTAGGAAATGGCTCCTCTCACATTGGGCTGGGTCTTCCTATGTCAGCAGCCTTCACAGATAGAGCCCCTCACAGACATAGTCCCTTACAGACAGCACCCCTCACAGGCATGCCCACAGGCCAATCTGACATTGATAATTTTTCATGAAAACTCTCTTCCCAGGAGATTCTAGGTTGTGTTGCATTGGTAACTAAAGCTAACCAGCACAACTGGGCTCCATACTAACAAACGTGGCAGCATTAACTGTGAGAGCCTCAATGAGAAGAGAACTCTGGGAAGCCCGAGTTGTATGACCAAGAACAGCACAGTTGCCTGGAGAGCAGGCAGCTTGGGTCCCTCTCAGGACTGTGCCCAGGAGCCAGACAGCTACTCTCTCCTGAGAAGTCTCTTTATCTGGGATATCAGGCAGAATGTCATTTCTGGGTCCAAGAATGACACAAAAATGAGAGCCCTTAATGGAGCAAGTGGAAACCAAATGAAGCTTAATGTGTGTGTGATACAGGTCAGACAGAGTGAAGCCTCTAGTTTCTTTTCTTTTCTTTTCTTTTCTTTTTTTCAAGACAGGGTTTCTTTTTGGAGCTTTGGAACCTGTCTTAGAACTCGCTCTGTGGACCAAGCTGGCCTCAAATTCACAAAGATCCACCTGCCTCTGCCTCCAGCGTGCTGGGACTGAAAGTGAGCACCACCATTGGCTGACCCTGCCTCTAGGTTTTTTTCTATGCATCATATCTACTCTTCTTTGGGACCAAGAGTGTATCTATAAGAGGGGAAAGATATCCTGGCAGTCCAGAACCAAGGACTACCACAAAGACACACTGCACAACAAACCTCACACAAGAGATTTATTGGGACAGACACAAAAAGGTGGCTGCCTCTGCTGGGGTGAAAAGCAGGGGAAACTGAGCAGAAGGCAGGCTTTCTATAGGGTTTCCTGTGAGGGGTGGCAGAGCTTTCCAGGGTGGCCTGGGATTGGTGGGATTCTGTGGCCTGATCCTGGGGCAAACTCAGGGATTGGTGAGATTTTGTTCTCAGGGATTGGTGGGATTCTTTTCCTTGGCCCTGGTCTTAGGGTCAAGTCAGCATGTTCTTTCCTTGACCCTATTACCTACCCTACAGTATCTATCCCAGAAGCTCTGTCATGTGTGAGCAAACACTCTCTGAGACTGAGCTTGGGAACAGAAAGTTGTCGGAGTTGTGGTGTTTAGTAGATGGGGCCATGCTCCATTCTCATGGATGAGCGACAGTGGCTTCAGTTTGCTGCTGTTCTGCTCAGCAGTGTCCAGGCCAGCACGTCACTCAGCATGTAACTTGGAAGTCTGACCTCTTGGCTCATAGCCTATTTTCAGTAACCATCCTTATCTCTATTCTCCTCAGCTAATTGGGAACTCACAGTAAAGTACTGGTTACATAAAATGGGGTTTATTAAGCTGAATCAATAAGAAACCATAAAGTACAGTCTTTGGCTATGACTTTGACCCTGGGAGAGGGGGCAAGGATAAGTGTGATAGCATGGGGGGGTGTGGGAGTTGGGGACACATTATGAAATGCCACAAGGCATGGATACTGGATTCCTTCTTAGGAAGGCAAGATTCAAACTAACTCTTTGAAAAGGCCTTGGTTATATTTTGGGAGAGTGTACAGCATGTCTTGGCTGCCATCTTATAATCTTGAACAATGGTTCACTCTCTAACCAGGAACTGAGGTGGGCTTCATTGCTAGGAACCCATGATATCTTCACTCAACATGCCTTGAGAGTGTGACAAGTCTCTTTCAGCTCATGTTTCTGTGTCTCCTGAAATGTTTTGTCAACTTACATTGAACAATAGGAACACATTCGCCACCATTTCAGGCCTGTGTAGAAATTCCAGGCAAGTCTCTGCTAATTTCTGTGACCATCGGGGTGTCCTTTCTCATCCCTTCATCTCTGTGACCATCGGGGTGTCCTTTCTCATCCCTTCTACACTCCAGCCTCTGAGGCATATACACATCCCTTTTCCTTCCCTGTAACCCACACCTTCTTCAACTCTCTGCGTACTGGTTTCCCAAGGGAGTGTCCCTCTGCCCTTGGCACCTGAATTTTGAGAGAACATGTCCAAGGGCTGGATAATTAGAGGAGGCTGGAGGAGGACTGATCCCTCTAGCTTAACTTTTCTCTCCACTGCAAATAAGAAGGATGGTGAGCTATGCCCTAACAAGAGGCTGGTGTCAAAATCGACGGAAAAAGTGAATTGTAGAGGAACACACCCAGTTCCCTCTAGGTAGAGAAATAAATAGATCCCAGGGTCCGACTCTAGGGAAAAAAATGAAGGATTGGAAGAGGGAATACTAGGAACTTGCCCCAAGGAAAGTTGGAGGATGATTGCTACATGCTGTGGGCCAGCCTCCTATCCTTTTTTAACTTTTGAGTGCTCCAAACTTTTCTGTAGCTTACTTCAGGCACAGAGGCATTATAACCTGCCCCACCCCTTCCCTACCAACTGGAAGCCCAAGAAGTGCTGTTCTCACAGTTTCTCTTTCTCTCTCTAGAAGACCAGGAAGTTTAGTGCACTTGGCTTCATGTCAAGATACTATTACAGTGCCTTAATTGCCAGGCACCACTCCGCTGGGCTATAAAGGTCAGAGACAGTGAGGGCAGAGAAAGTATTCCTTTCTTCCTTTCTCTGGTGAGATCACTGGCTGTCCTCTCCATCTCACGGCAGTCCTTTCAGAAGAGCAGGACTACTTCTTGGTGAGCATTTCCAGTGTGGGCTCTGATGGAGGCCAGTTGTTAGGGGGAAGGTGACTTGGGATATGGTGTATCTTTAGTTAAGGGGCAGATTGCTCTTGAACACCATGGCCCAGAACTTTCTAGCACATAGAGAGCCTCCACCTGCCCTCCAGAGGAGTCATTTCTTCACTCAGCCATTTCAGCTGTGGAAGGAGATCTAGTGCTCTCTAGACCCTTACAAGAAGAATCCCGGGAAGGAAGACCCCTCACCACCCCCATACCTTGATAGAGGATATGGTATCTTTTCCAGTTTTTATCCTTCCAAATGGCCACATCCAGCATAAAGCCGGTGTTTGATAAACTTTGGTTTTCAGAAAGAATGAATGAATGAACAAATGAATGATTGAATGCCTACTTGGACAAACAACACAGTCTGGTGTGTGGGTTGCTGAATTACAGGTCTGAAGCCCATAGCTCTGACCCCACTGTCCTCTCTTGCACCTCATGCAGTGTTCTCAGAAGTCACCATGGCCTGGTCCTGCAGCCTGAAGAGCCTCCTCACAGTCTTTGTCTTTACCATCTTCGCTGTCCCCGTCAGCTCTGTGGGTAAGAGTAAACGTGGTATTCCTTTCTCCTGAAGAAGGGGGAGGAGAGCAGTCAGAGCCTTGGGGAGGTCACCAACCACATGAGACTCTGGTGGTCTGTCTAGCCTCTCATGGCTTCTTGGCTCCTAGGAAACATCAATTACAAGGCTCTGGGCTTACCTTTCAAATGATGTACATTTCCTCCTTGCAGACAATTACCAGTGTACAGAATCTTCATGTACAAGTGAGTCATGTCCTTCGACCACAAATGTTTGTACAACCACTAAAGGCTGCTTCAACCAAATGCAGAAATTTGATACACCATGTAAGTCAACCCTCACACCTTGAACATCCTCCAGGTTATCTTCCTTCCTTTCCAGGATGAGCCTGGGAGCCTGGGGTTCTGGGAGGTGGTGGAGATGGAGCATGCGCTTGTTGTAGGGCCTAGATTCTACATGGTCAGGACCATTTGGGTATGACTCCATTCTTACTTTCACAGTGTCAGGGATCAAACTCGGGGCATCACGCATGCTAAGCAAGTACTGTACCACCAGTCACTCCCTTTGTAGCAAATGGTCCCTCTGTTGGTTCATTCTCTGAAACAGACCATTGCAGAGGGACTCTTGGAGAAATGCAGTGCTCAAGGCAGAGGGGATGAAGGGACAGGTTCTTTACCGCTAGCCAGGAGGAAAATTTACTGGGTGGTTCAATTTTCTACAGCTGCAGTTACAGACCACATATCGAAGCAAAAAGGGTGTTCCGCAGACACATGCAGTGCACTGACATTCTCAGCGACACTGGGGGCTCAACGGAGATTTAGCTATGAGAACAGGTGTTGCACAACTGAGAAATGCAACCAAGAGGACATAACTCGTGAGTACAGTTCCTGTCTGTGCCCTGCCACCTGCTCAGGGCTCCTTTGCCTTTCCAGGGGTCCATCTCTCTGCTGATGGGCTGCAGCCCTGACATTTGCCTTCCCTTTTTGCTTGAAGCTTTCATTTGTAAGGGTCTGGGTTGGATACAAGCCCTTCTCTTGAGTATGTGTGTACACACTTGCATACACAGACTGACAGCTGGGTAGCAGTAACTGGTCCTGCATCTATTTTTTAAGTAGGTTCAATGAATCTGTAGGTTTAAATGCTTTAGTTTGCTTCTCCAGTTGAGAGAATTTCCTCATCTATTTTATTCCTCATCTGGGATTTTTGTGTTGTTGAGATGGAGTCTTGCATGCATCCAGGCTTGAGTTGTATTACTAAAAGTTGGAGTAGCTGGGAGTACAGATGTATGTGACCATACCTGGCTCATTTCTCACTCTATGAACAGCATCCTTTTAGAAAACAGATAATCTCTTCTCTAATTATCTAGGCCTTTTTCTTCAGGGCAGGGAACAGAGCAGCTGACGAAGGTGAGGACAGCATGGATTTCTATGCGGTCCTTCCCTGCTCTCACACACCGGTGCCTTTTTCCCGCGCCTTCTTCCAGCTCATCTTGGCTGCAATGATTTTTGGTAGAATCATGAAAAAAAAATTATTTTGATGAGTAGTGGATAGACACATTCTCGCTAATTCTTCTGCCTATTCCCCAAGATGAAAACTTTTCTCTCTCCATTCAGCGTCTTCGTCTTCTGAACCCAATGGTGTGGAATGTACTGCCTGCTACAATGAGAAAGACAGGTCGTGCTCCTCAGTTACTACCCTGAAGTGCACAGGGAATGAGAAAAGGTGTATCGAGGTTATTGGCACGGGTATGAGTATTTCCTCAAACATTTTTACGTATATATCTTATTTTCTTCTTCTTATTGTCTATTTAAGGTATGAGTGTTCTTCAAGGGTATAGTGCACCCACCATTTACTTCTGTGGATCTGAAGCTTAGCAGCTGAAAATAGCAAAACATTCATTACATCCCAGTTTCTGCAGGTCTATCTAGACTCTGAGCCCAGCACTGCCACTGATTCTGGCTCAGAGCGTCTCCTGGGACTGTGTGCAGCTGTCAGCCAGGGCTGTGGTCCTTCAGATGAAGGATCTGCTTTCTAGTTGTTCACTTATAATTTTGGTGGTGTCAATTCCTCTTCATGCGGTGGCCTCATGACATACAGCTGACTTCCCTCCAAGCTAATGATGAGACAGAGAGACCCAGACTGACAAGGGGAGCCGTAGGTTTTAATAATCTAATCTCTGAAGTGACATTATCATTTCTGCTCCTATTTGTTTTCTTAAATCTTTTAAATTAAAACTTTATTATGAAGAACTTACAAATAAAAAACATCATGTAGTGAGATTAGCCAGTTCCAAAGATTACACAGTTCATTGACCTTCTATACAGTTACAGTAGCCATCCTGAAGCTGTGGAGATTTAGATTGACTTTTACACTTTCACTATCAACTATAGCTGTCTGCACTTATCCACCATACACACACCACACACACACACACACACACACACACACACACACACACACACACACACGCACACACGCACGCACACAAACGGAAACAACAACAAAATCCAGGACAAAAATCAAAACTAGAAAAGCAATTTGCTCCATATCCTGTCATGGCTCGTGTGTCCATTACCTGTATCCCATCCTTTCTTATCACCTAATGCTATAGACCCCTCTCAAGAGTCTTATCTCGTCCCTCTTATCCATTGTATCTTGTTGACCCTACAGACCAATCCTGATATGACCTGAGTGGGTCTTACAGAAGGCCACTCTGTCAGGGGCTGGAGTGAGTTGGGGGAGGGGGTCATCTTAGAAGCTGTTTTCCACACAGAGCAAAGGGCAATGTGGGGCCAAGCGTTTGGTTATCTCTCCAAGGTCTGGAGCAGGCATTTGTTGGCAGTTGAAGAAAGGATGTGTGTGTGTGTGTGTTTGGAGGGGGTAATGGAAAGACAAACAAGTGTTTGCACCTGCCTTGCTGTGATGTCCTGTAATGGGACCTGGGCTCACTGGCAGCACAGAAGGTGATTTCTTTTCTGGATGTCACATAGTTAAGCTCTTGAGTTTTCCCTAGTGTCACTGTGAGCTTAGTAAAAGTTTTATAATTTTCCAGTGTGAGAAGAGATACATGTTTGTTGTGTAGGATGCACGCATCATTCAGGTAAGAATTAGAAAAGCATCTGTGGGGTTTGCTCTGTGTGCCTAGAGGGAAACAGTGGTGACTCTTTTCTGATCAACATGTGAAACGTTTCATGGAATTGTGGGACTGAGAACTTGAAGGCAAGCCAGACCTTACATTTGGAAGCATTCTTCAGGAGGGTCTAGGGTGAGTAGGGGAGAGGACTTTTGTCTAGATGAGTTGAGATGAGGGAGGATATTGGGATGTCACACAGAATAGGGGGGTGGAATGATGCCATCCATAGCAGGACAGCCTTCTACTTCAATTTTCCATGGGAAATAGAGAGATACGCTCCTACAGTATTAGCCTCCCATGGAACTCAGAGACCCTGGCAGAAGGATTCTAGTTTGAGGGGATCTGTAGCATTTCTATTTTCCGTAGCTAAGTTGGGATGGAGCACAGATACAATTTAAAATTTAGCCAAACCTGTGAGGTCCTTCAGCTGGTGTCCTTCCAGAATATATTAAGTTCATCTCTCGTCACGAAAGCGTTCTGACCCCCAGTGTTGTTATTCATGCCTTAAACTAAGGCTCAGCTGATGGTGCACAGAGCTTTCTTCATGTTTATCACCGGAACAGAGGCTCCTTGTTTAAGATCATTCTGGGCACATTTCTTTCCGGAGGGATTTGGGTGATGAGGAGAAATAAGAGGAGAGTGAGAATGCTAACTCCTGGATCTTTCTTTTAGATGCAAAAACTTCCGATTTAAGGCTGTATGGGAAAGGCTGTGCAACTGAAAACACCTGCAATTTGAAAATGGATGTCCTCAATGACATACAAATCCAAGTCTCATGCATCCAAGCTGTTTCCACCTCACCTGTTTCCACTTCAACTGTTCCCACCTCACCTGTTTCAAACAAAGGGAACCCTGCCCTCAAATCCATTTCATCAGCTCCCATTATTCTGCTCCTGCTGAAAGTCCTGCTTTGATCATCCAGGAACTGGCAATCTCACAATCCTATGCATATGGACCCATTGGCATGTTTGGATGACTATTTCTAAAACACGGAGCAAATAAAAACTAGTGATTACTTTTTGGTTCTTTATGTGAAAACTTATATCCACTTTTGTCTTATCAGGAAATATACAGAGATGACTAGTTCAGCATTTCCCCTCTTCTCCTTAATATATAGTACTAGAAGTCCTAGTCAGAGTGATTAGGCAAATCAAATCAGTAATTAAATAAATTTAAAACTGAAAGAAAGAATAAAGAAAGGCAAAAAAAGGAAAAAAGGAAGGGAAGGAAATGTATTCATATTGGAGAGAAATTTGTAAAACCACTAGAAGAAAACATTTGTGTGTATGTATATGCATGTGTGTGCGCAGATATATACATGTATGTATGTAATGCTGGAGACAGTCCTGGACTTCATGCTTTTCGGGAAGTATGGCACTGCTGAGACACATTTCTAGACCAAGGAAAACACTTTTTGGCATTAGCCTAAGTGTTGGTTCTTAGTCAGGGTTTCTAATAACTTGTGTAGGAAAGGGTTTATTTCAGCTTATAACTCAGACCACACACTTCATTGCTCTTTCTTAATTTGAATAAAAAGAGTTAACCCAAATGTGCTGGTTGTTTTTTTTTTTGTTTTTTTTTTTTTTTTTTTGTCAACTTGACACAAACCTAGACATATCTGGAGAAAGAGAATTTCAACAAAGAATTGTCTCCATCAGATTGACCTGTTGGTGAGTCTATGGAGTCATTTTCTTGAGTAATAATTGATGTGGGAGGGCCCAGTTAACTGAGGACAGTACCACCTCTGGGCAGGTTGTTATGGGTGATATAAGGAAGCAAGCTGAGCAAGCCACAGAGAGAAAGTCAGTAAATAATGTTCTTCTGCTTAAGTTCCTGCCTCTAGGTTCCTGCTTAAGTTCTTGCTCTGACTTCCCTCAATGGGGTGTGTCCCTGAGGAACCAAGTGTTCTCTGAACTCTTAACACCATGCACTGGGGCTAGCCTCCCAGCTGGTTCAGCATCATTCTCAGGAAAGAAGGACCAACATTACTGCCAGGAATTAGACATGCAGCTTTCCAAAAACAAGTCCCTATACCTCAAAGGCATTCTAGATCATTCCAGGAAGGGCTAAGCCAAACTGACCCAAAGAGGCCATCTCTGGTTCTCTGTCTATCCTCTGGGCCTGTTCACATGAGCTCCTCTGTGCTCTAAAGACCTGGTGGTCCTCTCTGCTGCCTCTAATGCTTCTCAGCCTTTTCTCACCAAAGGAGCAGAAGGGACCTTTGATGAAGATGATTAGAGAGCAGAAGCCAGGGAACAAAGAGCAAGGGTGGGGGCTACAAAAGTACAGGAGTAGGGAGGCTCTGCCCTAGGGCCTGAGCCTGAGTTTCATCCTGCTTGATGGCAGCCATGGACTCCCAGGCATAGAGTGACGCTGTGTCTGGTGCCATGTACCTGCAGGTCCCATGGGACATGGGGCAGATGAGCTCTCAAGTGTAGGAGAACCTGCCATAGCCCCTTACTTTCACAGTGTATGACTGGTGATAGCCAGGATGGAGGAGATCAGGCAGGACCCTGGTGTGCTTCCCTAAGAAGCTGACTAGCTGTGCAAGTGCCCCTCTGAAATACCCAATACCAACATGCAGCCAAGAAGGAAGAAGTTGAGAAGATTATGTATCATAGAGTCCTTATCTGTGGACCCAACACAGGTTGGCAGTGTACAGTGACCGTCTGGATGGCAGGTGTTGAGTGGGGATGTTACTCCAGCGTGAACCTGTCTTCTTCACTGACCCCCTTCACCTGCCTGTACCTGCTCTTGCTGGAAGCCCCACCTTTATATTGGACCTGTTCCCTATGCCGTGGGTATTTTCCTCAGGATCTGGTTACTGTCCTCTTACTGAGCCTAAAGAGTGGGGTCGGGTCAGGGTGATACTGTTTTTGCCATTCACTCTGACTGGGATGGGCTTCTATCAGTCTGCTTTCTCCTCTGCTTTTACCCTATCCTCCAGGTGGTCGTCTGGTAGAGCTCCAGGTTGCAGCCATATGCAACATTAACATCTGCAATTTTTATCCTGGCTCTCAGCAGGCTCTGAAGACCTGTGAGTCTGACAGAGCTCAGTTGTCTCCTCTTCCTGTTGAGTTTGCTCCAGACTCACAGTACAGACAATGCAGGACAGGCCTCTTTGGGGCTCCCACTGGCTAGAGCCTTCTCTACTTCGGGCAGCAGAGGCTTTCAAGTCACAGGATGACACCACAGCATGTTTGGAGGGGACTGTCATCCCTGAACAGCTGGGCCTCTGCAGCTAGCCTGTCATCTACTGTTCATCTGGAGAACAACCTGCATCTGACCCATGGACCATTCCAGGACCTCCTTTGGGAAGCAAATATTGTACATGAAGCACCCTCTGGTCTCTCAGAGGAGATAAGGAGGCAGCCAGTGATAAAACTGTGAGCTGTCCTCAGGAGGTGTGATCCTCACACTGACCTAAGAGCAGGGTCAGGTCTTATCTGCACTTTACAGCTGGTGAGCTGAGAGGTAGCGCAGTGGGTAGGTGTTAAAGGAAAAAGATTATTCAGCTCTGCTGGAGATGGCAGATGACTTCATTCAAAGGAGGCTCTGTAATGTGCTCCCTGCATGGCCTAGAGAGACAGGGCGTGCTCCAGACACAGCGCAGGCAAGTGAGGAGTAAGGGAAGCGCAACTTAACAGGACTTTTGCCGAAAAAACTACACAGTCAAGGAAGAAGAGCCCATCGACAATGAAGAGCTGTGAGGTCCATCTGCGAAGTGACTGAGACAGGTCCTTCCTAAGATGGGGAAACGTAAAAATAAACACAGCGGAGCAGTGGTGAGGTCCTTACTGAGAAGAGAGCTCTGGGGAGCCCAAGCTGTGAGATAGGAGAGTACTTTGCCAGTAGCCTGGAGAACAGGCAGTGGATTCCTCCAAGGGCTGTTTCCAGGTGGAAGGCTGACAGGAGAAGGGTCATTCTGCCCCCCCCCCCCCCCGAAGTGTTTTTAACTGGGACATGCCACAGAATATTGTTTCTGTTCCAAGGATGAGGAGAGAATGAAATCCTCTTAAGGGGGCTTGTGGGACCAATCTGATGACAAATGTGTGTGAGATACACTTCAAGGAGCGGGAACCCCTGATATCACCCCAAGTTCTTTGAGCACTCTTCTTTGACCCTAGAAGGGTGTCCCTGCAGCAGGATCTGCCAGCGTCCCCACAGTGAGCACAGGTTAGCACATATCTGAATAGCTGTTACCATGGAGATTGTGCTGAGGCCTTGCCCTGGGAGCAGGAGGTCGGCACAGAGATGAGATTTCCATCCAGTTGGGGGGGGGGGGGGGGCGTGCTCTATTTTCCATTGATGAGTGACATGGATGAGTAACTGAGTTTTCTTCCTGAAGTGACATAGCCAGTTCACTGTGCCTCTTACCTGTTCTGCAGGCTCCAGGCCGGTGTCATCAGAGGGAAGAACAGCTGAGGTAATCCTGCCCCAGACTCTGCTGTAAGTGTGGCCATTTGGCTTCTGCATCTTCTTTGCCAGATACCATCCTTATCACCAACTCATTAACCACTTTGGAGCTCATGGTCCAGCATTAATAGCACAGAGAGAGAAGTTTTAGTTAGCTGAGCCGATAAGAGAACTGTGAAATGTACAGCCTTGGACTATGACTTTGAACCCCAGGAGAAGATGTGATGGGGAGTGGGATGGGAATGGGGTGTTGCAGGGACTCCCTCAGGGTGAGAAGGCTGACTTCCTTCCACTGTAAAATGAAGCTTCTCCGGCCATGGTTGAGAGCAGCTCAGGTCTGTCGGCTCTGGGAGCAGAGTTTTTAATTTTGATTTATTTTTCACTTTGACTCAATAAAGCAGAGGCAACAGCAAAACACAAAAGCAGACAAGTGGAGTTTTGTGAAGGTGAGATGATTCCTGCCCAGAAGAGAATGCAGTCAACAGACTGAAGAGACACTCTATGCAATGAGAGAAAAGCCTTACTGTTGGTTTTAATGTGGCACTTTTAGGTCACAAGGCATGACAAAACCCATTATCAGAGGAGAGTTTTATTGGAAGGGAGAGGGGAGGGACAGATAGCGTGACCAGGCCTGTGGAAGACATGTGCAGAGAGAGAGAGAGAGGAAGAGAAGGAGAAGGAAAAAGAGGAAGGAGAGGGGTCTGTGTCCTGCTTCTTATGGATTCCCCTGCACATGCACATATGGTCTTACTGAGCTAAGTCATGCATTCGCAGATTGCAGGATCACGCAGTGCATGGATTATGTAGGCTGTAAGGCCCCTTACTTAGCTACTGAACTGTGCATGTGCAGTCAGATAGCTGGAGGAGCGGCCAGGAATTCCAGCACTTACAAAGTGCAAATCTGGGAAGGGATTAGTGCTCCCGACATACAAAGAGCTCAACTACCTCAATGCAAAGGAGAAAGTTTCCCCTTAGATATGGACAAGAGGCCTGAACACCTCTTCACAACAGCAGATGGACACGTGGTACAAAGTACAGAGACACCAAGATCCCCAGTGTGAATGGAAATCCCAGATAAAATCACTGTGAGATACCAGCTCAGGCCTCCAAGGAAGATTATCATGAAGAGAAAACCTAAGTGCTACCCAGAACGTTCAAAGAAGAGAACTCATGCACGCAGTTGGTGGGAAAGCAAATAATTCAGACATTATGAAAATAACAGGAGAAGAGGTGTTCTCAAACATTTAAAAGTAAAGTTTTAGGTTGAGGCTACTCTAGGCCACACTCACTTTTCTCCTCTGTCCCACTGCTTATAGAGAAATGACAGGCACCCTATGAATACAGTTTGCCTATGACTCTTAATTTTCATGTCCCTAAAGGAGGTTTTCCCTAAGTGATCAGGAACTTCAAGTGGCTCATCTACTATGGTCGACACTTAACTAATAAAAGGCCGAATCTTTGTCCTTCCTACCACCACTTAAGAGCCAGAGGAAAACCT